ATGTTTAAATTCAACAGAAACTACAGTACAAACAGTTTACAGATGAACCCATTCAGAAGCTCTCAGGGATCACAAACAAAGTAGGAGAACATTTGCACTAACTTTTTTTGGATCCGTTTAGGAAGACAGGCACAGTTTTTTGGATTTTTTTTATAAACTATGTTAATAAACTAATTTAGAAAGCAACATTAAATCGCTGTGAGCAGGGTTCAAACCTGCATGGGGAAACCCCATTGGATTTCAAGCCCAACACCTTAACCTATCAGCCATGAAAAGCTTGTTGCTGCTCCTGGGTATTCAGAAGAATGGGTTGGAAAAGAGGTCATACATAGGAATAGATGTAGGCACTGTTGGAAAGCTACAGTACCACCAGTTTAAGGAGGAATCCATTCAAAAGGTCAGAAGAATCAGGTGAACATCTGCATTAATCTTTCTGGCTCTGTTTAGGCAGACAGGCATGGTTTATATGGATTTTCTTTTAAACCAGGCAAAATACTCTTTGGTGTTGACAAATATGATTTAAAATAGGGAAATGATGATGAAGAAGGCTTTGTAAGGAGGAGTGAGAAGGACGAATGGGATGAAAATGGATTCCTAAGGAATGGAAAACGGCATGATGAGAAGAAAGAGTGGATTTGTGATCAAGAAGAGCGATGGGGAGAATGAGTGTTACAAAAAAGTCTTATAATAAGCAATTAGGTCAATGTGTGGGATGTAAAACGATTGTCCAAAGAAACCAGGAGAATGGGTGGGATAGGGACCACTGGGAAGAGAGATCAAAATAATCAGTGAGATGAAGTTTCTAAAAAGTACAAGGAGGATGGGTGGAGGGAAAGGATGATGGATTGACTGAGGATGAGTGATCAAGAGGGAAGGAAAGGGGCGTTGTGAGAATAACAGAAATGTGCTGCATGTGAGAGACAGGTATAAGTAGACTTTTTATCTGACTACAGGTGTGGACAAGGAGTAAACTTACTTGCAAATCAATATGACACCTGGGTCTCCATGTGGTCTTCTTCTATCTTTTTTAAGCTAAGATCTACTCATCTTCACCATTCATATCATTTTTAAATCCAACAGAAATTACAGTACAAACAGTTTATAGTTGAATCCATTCAGAACCTCACATAAATCAAGAAAGAAAGACATAAGAGAATGTTTTGTGACTGTGTTTAGGTTTGTAAGGCATGTATTGTCTGGACTTTTTAAAAACATTTTTGCATTTGACAAGTAAATAAGGTACCTCATATCACTCTGAGAAGGATTCAAACCTGCACGGGGAAACCCTGTTGGATTTCAATTGATTTCAACGCCTTAACCTCTTGGCCATCACAGATGCTGACAGCTGTGGGTTCTCAGAAAAAATGGTTCTATAGGGGTCATAAATGGGAAGATGGAGGGGAGGCACTGTTGGAGAAATGGGTGAGCAGGATGAGTTGGATGGAGGGGCTAATAAAACAGATGAAGGGGTTTGATTGGGTGTCTGCAGCTGTGATGGCTGAGAGGTTAAGGCGTTGGATTTGAAATCCAATGGGGTTTCCCCACGCAGGTTCAAACCCTGCTCACAGCGATTAAATGTAGCCTGTTTTCTAATCTCAAGAAGAGCTTTAAATAGAGAAATATATGTTCTTGTCTGCCTCGTCATGGCCAGAGATTAGAGTTGGTTTTCTCTGTAAACTCCCTGCAGCATTTAGACATGACTCTAAAAAAGTCATTTTCTTTATCTGCCACCAGATTTTTCTATTTAAAATGTGTGTACATTGAGTCAAATTCCTTGTTTGTTTGCACTAACTTGGCCAATAAAGCTGGTTCTTATTCTGACTTTTACACACCTTTGTCAGTCAGCTCATCCTCCTCATCCTCTTCTTACCACACACCTCCCCCTTCAGAGGTAAAAGGCATTGGACTTGAAATCTGATGGGTTTTTCCATACAGATTCAAACCCTGCTCACAGCCTTGTAGAGTCACTAATGTGAAACTAAGATTGGTTTTCTCGTATGTTGTGAAGACAGTTTAAAGATGACAGATTTATACTACAGAACCCAAAACCTATGTAAAATCTTAAAGAGGACAAACACACTACTCTAAACAAAGCACAAAGTGCATTATTTATTTGTTAATTTTCACAGACATTACTCTGTTTTCTATAAATTCTTCTTTTCCACAGGTTCATCTGCCAACTAGTTTTGTGCAGCGATTTCAAATGGATTTAAAGCAGATTATAGTTTAGAACACGCTGAACTGTACTTGTTGTCAGGATTCAGATTTTTCCTTTACCCCCAGTACCGGGGGCACAATTTAACTTTTGTTTTCTTCTACTAACTTTACTGCAAGTTCCATTAGTTAAACATAGACATGTGTGGTATTCACAGAAATAGTAGAATCTTGGCTAAAAGCTCATATAAACTATTTCTACAAACACCAAAAACAGTTAAAACTAAAGGCAGTTGAATCAGAAAATAAACTCCACAAAAGATATAATCGCAAATCTCGGTCTCAGCTGTTCACCACACGGCTTCTACACACACAACCAGCATGTCTGCTGTAAGCAGAGAGCTCCCAGATTCCAAAAAAATCATTTTGTCACAATCCAACCAGGTTTTACTCAACCAGGAGCAAAGGAAAGCCAGAATTATCACTGCCATTTGAAAAACATAATTATTAACATATTGATTGTTTAGGTAGAGTATGTCAATTCTCAGAAAAATTCAGTTAGATTTGTGCATGTTATTTTGAGCCTCAAACTTCACAAAACCTTCTTGGGCTTAAGAGGTTAAAGACTCTTTTCATACCACCCATCTTGCTCCTTCTTCCTGTTCTTCCTTTTTCACTAACCTATGAACCCTTACTTTCTCAGATTTATTTTCTTGAACCTGTTAAACCCCTTCATCTCTTAATTGACCCCCTTTCATCCCACTCGACCTGCTCATCCATCTTTCAAACAATGCCTCCAACTCATCCTATGCCCATTTCTGCTGTTTCTTCTGACCAGGCAAGTCTTTCTTGAGCTGTGATGGCCGAGAGGTTAAGGCGATGGACTTGAAATCCAATGGGGATTCCCCATGCAGGTTTGAACCCTGCTCGCAGCAATATGAAGTAGACTTCTTTTCATCACCCAAAGACTTTGTCTTTGATACAAAGAATCTCCAAATAAACCATACCTCTCCACCTAAACAGACGGAGAAAACACCTGCGTGAATAGTGCAGAATACTGCTTCCTTCCTACCTCACTCTGTGTTCTTCCATATTTTTAAGCCACAACTCACACCAGACTCCACTGTTCATATAGTGTTTAAATCCAAGGGAAATTGCTGTACAAATAGTTTACTGATGGACCTGTTCAGAATCTTCCAAGTATCAGGAAGGAATTAGGAGAATATCTGCATTGTTTAGATTTATTTTTTCATTCCAGATTAAAATACTCAATGCAAGTTTATCACTGTGAGCAGGGTTCAAACCTGCGTGGGGAACCCCCATTGGACTTCGAGTCCAACGCCTTAACCTCTCGGCCATCACAGCTGTGTTCACATCAGGCTTCTCACAACAAAGAGCTGAAAAAGAGGTCATCAATGGGAATACGATCAAGGTTGGGGTCAACAGCACAAGATTACAGGAACAATTCGTAGAAACTAGGTTAATATCTGTGAAAATGACAACCAACGAGGGTATTTTTAGACAGCAGGTGTACTTGGTTACTGTAGAGAAATGAATCTAGCACCAAGTTAAATTATACTACTGTACAACTGAACAATTACTCTCATATATTTATCAGTCAAACAATTTATCAATCTGATATGATTTATTGCCTAGAGTTTTATTTATTTCTCAGTTTCACTCTGTACTAACAAATCAGAGACAATGAACACTTCAGCTAAGAAAACTACAGTGAGCTGCTATTGAAAACAAAAGTATTTTTCACTATTCAACCTAATTGCAGCTGTTTAAAAAACAGCAGCAAAGTGAAAGGCATGCAGGAAGCATTCAGATTCACACCAAGATAAAATATGAAAATGAGAAATAAGAGACTGTATAAGATCACATTTACAACATAAGAAAAAATAGTCTACAGTTATTAAAAATAGCATACTCAGATCTAAGGAATGTGTAACTGAATAGGATAATTTAGGAATATGTACAAACTGTCCATGTATATTTGTGTATAAAAACAAAATAAGAAATAACAATGAAGAATGTATAATTACTACTATGAACAAAAATAAGACCATGACGACAATTAATAAATGTTTAACAATCTAATTATTCAACTGATTAAGATCATACTGTTATCCAGACTTCATCAGACTTTCATGAAACAATGTGTGGAAAGATCTCCACTTAATCTCAATGCCATTTGATTAAAAGGCGAACAACGGGAAAGGGATGAGGTCCCCACTCTACAGATCACTTTTTATCCAGGTTCAGATCAGCCTATTCTCAACGCCCAGCAAGCAGGCAGTCAAAAGCGGATCACTACTTTCTCTTTCTCTCTGGTTGAAGTAAACTCTGGGAATGCACTGGGTTACTCGCCAAGTGTTGTCCAAGAGAAAGCAAAAGACTTCTCCAAAACAGTCCTCTGGGCATAGATGATGAGGCTGGACCCGGTCGATGGCACATCAGGCTTGGATGGTATTAATCCTGATGATGAGGTAACCAGCTGTGAAAGTGTCTCTCTTGTGAGGTCACAGGGAAGTGGCTCCAATTAGGTAGAGGCACAATACAGGAAGGGTCTTTTTTTTTAAACCTTTGAGTTACAAACCCTAAATTAACATTTAAAAGAAGGAGATCTTTTTCACACAAGGCCCAAGAAATTCTCCAGTCTCCTTAAAACAAAGCAACAATTTACTTTATACATGAAAACTATCAGAAAAAAATAGTACGGACGTAATTTATAATTAGCCAAAGACAGAATAATTTAATTAAATATTAATTCATAATAATTTATTATTTAATTAATTAAGTACTTGTATTGTAATTAAGTATTTGTAACTAGTTTTAGTGTCCACAGACACACCAGCTCTGACCTTTGGCCTGGGAAAACCTAAGTCCTTAGTCACTGAATGATAACAATAACACAGATGTCAAATTTTTGGGTTTAAAGAACGCACTCTTTTGTTTGCAACAAACTCATTAGTATTGTCATCTTAAAACCAAAGGAATCAGATCCAGCATCGCTGTGAGCAGGATTCGAACCTGCGCGGGGAATCCCCATTGGATTTCAAGTCCAACGCCTTAACCACTCAGCCATCACAGCTGGATGTCTGTAACCATGTACATGGA